TCCACACCATCACTACCACATCCACACCCCTCACTGCCACATCCACACCCTCACTCCCACATCCACACCCCTCACAGCCACATCCACACCCTCACTACCACATCCACACCCCTCACTACCACATCCACACCCCTCACTACCACATCCACACCCTCACTGCCACATCCACACCCTCACTACCACATCCACACCCCTCACTACCACATCCACACCCCTCACTACCACATCCACACCCTCACTATCACATCCACACCCTCACTACCACATCACCATATTCACAGTCATAACATCCATCACTGTCACGCCCTTAAGCTGGTCCATTAATAATGTGACTACTGGTTGTATAAGAGAACGCAAACTGTGCTCCAACACAAGGATATATATATATATATATATATATATATATATATATATATATATATATATATATATATATATATATATATATATATATATATATATATATATATATATATATGCTTGTTCAAAGCATCTTGAGAGCTGCACAATAGATGGCGTGTTGAGAGGGTGTCTCGTTTTCCTGGGGGTTGGGGGGGAGAGGGGGTTCCCTTGCGGTTACCTCGCGATGATTTCGGGGCTCAACGCCCCCGCCCCCGCGGCCCGGTCCTCGTTCAGGCCTCTTCGTTGCTGGACTGGTCAACCAGGCTGTGGGACGCGGCTGCTCGCAGCCTGACGGATGAAATCCCTGCTACCCCCTACCTTTTTCACACACACACACACACACTGTACGTGGTTGAAGGTCGTGTGAAATGGGTTTAGCTGATATCCCGCCTCTGGGATAACCTGGTCGGGGCTGTCATTTTCTGCAGCCGTCAACATCAGAGAGGTTATCTTGGTTATCTTGAGATGATTTCGGGGCTTAGCGTCCCCGCGGCCCGGTCCTCGACCAGGCATCCTTTTTGTTACACCTCCCTCCCCCAGGAAGCAGCCCGTAGCAGCTGTCTAACTCCCAGGTACCTATTTTACTGGTAGGTAACAGGGGCATCAGGGCGAAAGGAACATTTTGCCCATTTGTCTCCGCCTCCACTGGGGATCGAACCCGGAACCTCAGGACTGTTGGCGTTCTTGTTGTAATGTACTAGACGAACTTCGAGGATTGTCACAAGCCGGCAGTTACTACACAAGGCGTTCATTCAATAGCAGCTTCACTCTCGATAACATCACTTGGTAGTGATCGCTTGTCACCTCGTCTCTCTCTCCCTCCGAGCTCTACGCATCAGCGACCCTCAGTTTCTTGATTCTGAAATTTCCTTTATCTACAAATCTTTCTTTCGACTTGGCTGCGCTTTACATATTATCAACTGTGCGTATTCTCAAGCTAATGGGAATTTCTTTCATCCTAAACCTGCTTCCAACACTAGTAGCACTGTGCTCTGCCATCCCTTCATATCTGAACTCTAAACCTTTACTAATACCTTTCGTCCTCTTGACATAAAACTCGCCTTTCGACAAACTAACACACTTCCTAGCAATCTAGTTCACACTGCTGCTCCTGCTTCTAATGCTGCTGTGTCTACTCTATTTCCTGTTCGTCTTGTCCTCTACAATACTTTGGTGAAACCGTACACTAAATGACAGACTTAAGGAACACAAAAGAAGTGTTAAGTCCGCAAACACAAACAATAATCTCTTCTGCCATGTGAGGGATTCTAATCATCCTATTGATTGGTCGTCCTCTAAAATAATCTGTCCTACCTCTACTCTACACAGACGCCGTCTTGTTGAATTGGCTCTGATACACAACCTTCCCAACATGAACCTGAGTCCTGGCTTTGTTGCTGTTGGCTCTTCCCTTTCACAGTATATACTCAAATGTTCTGAACTTTCAAACAAACGTGACCTAACATAAGCCTACCCTTCCTTTTATCTTTCTCTTGATTCTCTTACGTTCCCATTCTTACTCCTCTTATTACATCTTACCTTTTGCCTTGCTCTTATCTTTCTATAAGATTTCCATCTCTTCACCTCTCTCTTGCCTAACGTAATGTCCTTGTCTCCCTCGTCTCATCACAGTCGACTCCATAATGGTCCAGGACGGACCGAAACGTCGTCGTCTCTTCAATTTCTAGTGTCTGGGTTGGTCAACATTTTTCAGCCACGTTATTGTGACTATTTGTACCCAGACAGCAGCTCCTGGCTGTCTGGGGTTCGAATCCTTCTGGGGTGTGGAGTTTTCAGTTGCATATTGGCTTGGGAACCACTCAAGCTTATATATATATATATATATATATATATATATATATATATATATATATATAACTGAAAACTCACACCCCAGAAGTGACTCGAACCCATACTCCCAGAAGCAACGCAACTGGTATGTACAAGACGCCTTAATCCACTTGACCATCACGACCGGACATAATGAGGTGATAGCCGAGGCTATTTGAACCACCCCACCGCCGGCACTCGGATAGTTATCTTGGGCATAGCATTTTACCAAATCACCTCATTCTTTGTCACTTCTGGGGTGTGAGTTTTCAGTTGCATATGTCCTGGGGACCATTCAGGCTTGTTCGCATATATATATATATATATATATATATATATATATATATATATATATATATATATATATATATACTTGTATTGTGAGTGAACACATCGACATAGCGACATGTGCAACACTCTATAATAAGAAGAACAGCTGCTGAGTTGTTCATCGTGTCACTTGCATACTGACGCAGCTGGCCCTCGCTTAACTGTCTCGAGCAAACAGCCCGTCACACAAAGGAGTTAACATTGAACAAACCTCCAATTGACGTTATCGTACGAATGTAAAGTGGGGAAAAATCTTATCAGCAGAGTATCTATATTTATCGTTATTTGACAAAACGTATTTTTTTTTTGTATAACTTAACGTGAGATTTATTATTTCTGATGTTATTAAGATGGGTCCAATTTCTCAAGTGATCCTCTGGGTATACATAGAGTACAATGTGTATTTATAAATACTCTACTGTGTAAAGTTTCAAATGTATATCATATAAATAGGCCTCACTATAAATTGTCATCCGCACATCCGTGGAAATAAACTATCCCTATTAAGGCTACTTATTAGCTCGGTCGACCGAGCTTCGGCCTCACACGCCTGGGGTCCATAGTTCGAGTCTCCTAGAGCCCCGGTTAGAGCCCAGTTTAGAGCCCTAGAGCCCAGGTAAGGCAATATTATTATTATTTATCATATACACAAAGACATCACACTAACTTGATGTATCAATGAGATAATCAGGTGGAGGAGGATTCGAATCTATGCTCTTGGCACTCCCAAGCATACGCCTTAAACCACTCGACCACCACATGCTAAATCTTACCAATCAGTGCCTACGGAATTAAGTGAAGTCTAGCTCTACATGCCCCGCCTATTAGCCTAGTCGTATCTGATGTGTTATAATTGAACTATATTCTGAAGTTCGAATTCTTTATGTGATAGAGGTGGCTTCCAGAACTTCTTCTTTCAATGTATTTCCCCTTTGTTGACCACCCATAAAGGGTACTCTATTCCTCGCTCCTACTGATGGAAGTAGTTGGTAGTTATCTTGTCACAATGGCACAATTATCTTGTCCACTGGCCGTTACCGCGTCAGAATGCTGTCGTCTGATGATAATTCTGATTTAGAGAAGGTGTCTGAGGATACGAAGCACCGCCCACGGGATGGGTATGGGGTGCATAATAAAGAAAGAACTTGAAAGAAGGTGTCTTTGGGATGAAATATTCAACATGGTCTTCAGTAACCTCAAAACACTCAACCCATATTCGTTCATGTGTACAAATTCCACAGGAAATTGATCACATTTCCACGATTGATTAGTGTTTGCACAGTTATTGCGTCCACTGGGCTCAATGTCCAGGATCAACATCATCAACGTTAATTCAACGTTGAATTGGCGTTGATAAACGTTCATTCAGCGTCGAATCGACTTATCTCTCTTAGGTACTGTACCCACTGGGTTGATCTGAACGTTTGTCTCAAGTTTCTGCCTGGGAGGTTTTCTCTACGACTTTAGGGAACAGTTTTTGGTGTCAGTGTAGATCAGCGAGGCCCTCGTGTCCCCTTACCCCCCCCGCCCTTGTAGGCATCTTAATGACATAACAATGGTGATTACCTCTGGGCCAGCACACACGTGCCTTACAAGCGAGATGACCTGACCTACGACACGATGGAACACTGCCCTTCCCTCCTGTGCCTCCTAGTATGAGTTGCGGTGTGTGGAAAGCGCTTTTTGCCTGGAAATAAAGAGTTGGAGAATAGCTGCTTACTTCTGAAACTTCCAAAGAAAGAGAGAGAGAGGAATGCGAAACGTCGCAGGGAAGACAGAGCATCAGATCGCTTAGACATGGCAAATGTGATTGCCATTGGAGTGAGAGATCGACATAGGGCGTGTAAGACGGCAAATAGGCGGCGGGCCGGGATGGGGGGAGAGGGGGGAAGGAGGGGGAGGGAGTGGGCAAAGGCAGCTGGGCGGTGCAGGTGTGAGGGGGTGCCACCGATGCCCAGTGCCACCGTGGCCCTCCCTCCACCCCGCTGCCACTCGCACGACCAACCTCCCCCTTACCCCTGCCATCACTACTGCTGTCGCTCCACCAGCAGGCCCTTCATTCCCTCGGGGGTACAAAATGTAGACCAGGATACCGTCGGTGGTGGGGGTGATGTGGGTGTGGGAAGAAGAAGAAGAGTAGTGGGTGGTGTGCTGTGGATGTTTGGGCGTGGGCGTGAGGCTAGAGCGCGAAGGACGACAGGTTGGGCTCGGGGCAGTGTTAGGGTCGTGGGTGCGGCTGGCAGGGTAGGGAGGACCGACATATCGGGTCCTGTCATGGTGAGGAACAAGTGAGGGAAGGGCAGCGCTATGCGGGCGTGGCGTGGCGGTTACCTCTAACATCGGAGAGAGCCTCTCTGCCACCATGGACAGGGCCCAGCGTCTGCGCCTCATACTGCAAGGACTCATATGGGCCTGGATCTATCGGCATGTGGACGCGGGTGAGTACCCTTCGAGTTGTTCCTGAGGTCAGCGTGCGAGAACACAGGTCATAGGTCATGGGATAGGGGGGGGGAGGTCATTGGTATTGATACAAGGGTCGTGTTCTGGCGTCTCAAAGGGTAATTTATATATAGTAATCACGTTAATGTGTCAATTCGTTCTTAATTATGTACCCCCCATTTTGTGGGTTTAAAGCTACATATATATATATATTCCTTCAATTTGTTCATATCAGGTTAACTTATTTAATGCACACAATTAAAGACAAATTTTAAGGGCTGACAATGTTAATCTTCATGTTTGAGAAACTGTTCACTTGAGACAGTTAAACAAGTCCCAGTTATGTCTGGGTACAAGTGACAGGATGAACAACCCAGCGGGTTTTCTTCCTATTGGGGAGTGTTGTACATGCTGCTATGGCGGTGTGTCCACTCACAGGATGAGTGGCGCTGCCCAATAAACTTGTCCCTCGGGGCAAAATTAAAAAAATAAATTACTTAAAGACAATACTTTTGAAAGACTGTAAATATGACTTTTCTTACCTATCTCCTAGTAAGACACTCAACGCAATGTTAATTAATGTTAATCAACTTGAGCCAAGAACAAACGCATTCACGAATATAACAAATACAAGTGCTGGTTACGTCGTTTGTGTCAATAACTGCCAGTGACGTAAGACACTTAGGGCCAAGTCCTCAAGAGTCTCCAAGATGTCTAATTCCTCAGAGGTCAAATGGTTTTTACGACCAGAAACAACCCCATTAACCTCCTTGTCCCTCACGCAGCTGGTCGCCGGCCACTGAAGCTGCTCTTAATCATCGCCTTGAACCCCAATGACCCAACCCATTGATTATAATGACCACCTCCTTGGAGTAATAGCATTCAACCTCTTGAGGATGGCCAAACCACTTGTGTAAGATGGCTTAGCCCCTCTCACAGTTTCGTTGGCTTCTTTAAGAGACGATAAGCGGAGTTTTAGAGGACACTTGTGACCGCAGAGCTGACCTGACTGTGACCTCGAAGGTAATTTGCCCGTGATCTCCTTAATATATGAAGGAGGTCACATTTATATATGTCTAACTCTGACCTCTTCAATGATAATCTGACTGTGACTTGAACGGTGATTCGCAAACGAAGCTGCTTACCTATCAGTGACTGGGGAAGTGAGACAAAGCTGTCTCGACTTCCCCAGTCACTGGGGAAGTCCTCAAGGGTCGACTTGAGGACTTGAAGTCGACTTGAGGACAATCGACTTGAGAATGGTCCAGGACGGACCGAAACGTCGTCGTCCCTTCACCTTCTAGTGTGTGGTCTGGTCAGACAAAGCTCTTCAAGCCATGTTAAACCTGCTGGTCCTTTTGAATTCTCCCCCACCCCAACCCCCCTCAAATCCCAGCCCTCTCGGTAGGGGGATACCAGAAATCCATACTCTTGGAGGGTATATTTATACCCCAACTCTTGGAGGGTATGTACCCCAATCGGCCGAGGTAATATTTCACTTCTTGAAGGTAATGTAATCCAATTTTTGGAGGGATATCTACCCCTAATCCTTAAGAGGGTATATACCCCCAATCCTTGGAGGGTGTATGGGCCAATCCCCCGGTCCTTGTAGGGAATATATTCTCACCCCCCCCCCTTGGAGAGAATATACTAAAAAACGCTTGGAGAGTGTACCGTATACCCCAAGTCCTTGAAGGGTATATTTATATCATTAATTCTTAGAGGGTATATAGACCCCCAAATCTCGCTGGGTATATATATATATATATATATATATATATATATATATATATATATATATATATATATATATATATATATATATATATATATATATATATATATATACCCCCAATATTTGGCGAGTATATACTCCAAATCCTTGGAGGCAAAATACCCCAACACTTACTGGATATACTCCAAACCCCTCTAGGATATACTCCAGACTATGTGACTATATCTCCCTCCTTGATGAAAGAATATAATGGTCAGCTCCCACTCACCATCTACCTCTCCATTTGCCTCCGTAAAAAAAGGTAACCGTTTTGCCTAACAAGAAATGGACAAACCTAAGCATCCCACCTAACCCTATGGAGAATTATGCATAAAAAAACGTCAATATTAGGGTTATCTTGAGATGATTTCGGGGCTTTAGTGTCCCCGCGGCCCGGTCCTCGACCAGGCCTCCACCCCCCCCAGGAAGCGGCCTGTGGTGGCCCATTTGCAGGACAACGCTGCGTTTTTAAAGAAGACTCTTAACATGTAATACTCTCTGTGTGCTCGCGAAGGAGAAAATCTTCAAGGAAAAAATGGTCTCTTGGGCAAGGAACAGAGAGTGTGTGTGTACTCACCTATTTGTGCTTGCAGGATCGAGCATTGACTCTTGGATCCCGCCTTTCTAGCCATCGGTTGTTTACAGCAATGACTCCTGTCCCCTCGGAGTGTGTGTACTCACCTAGTTGTACTCACCTAGTTGTGCTTGCGGGGGTTGAGCTCTGGCTCTTTGGTCCCGCCTCTCAACCGTCCCCTCTCTCGCCGCACACACAACTGTGTGTGTGTGTGTGTGTGTGTGTGTGTGTGTGTGTGTGTGTGTGTGTGTGTGTGTGTGTGTGTGTGTGTGTGTGTGTGTGTGTGTGTGTGTGTGTGTGTGTGTGTGTGTGTGTGTGTGTGTGTGTGTGTGTGTGTGTGTGTGTGGGTGCGTGCGTGTTTGGGGGAGGTTTCTTGATGTATGTTGAACGGCTGGGATATCATCTGGCTAACCCATGGGCTCAGGTTTCACGTATCAGTCCATTGTTCTTCTTCTCTTATTATTAGTATAAATGCATGGGGGTTTTAAGGCGGGATGGGTGGTGGGTGGGGGGAGGGCATACTGTTATGTGGCCAACGGGGGAGGTTATGTTGTGAATGACAGTAGGGAAATTATGTTGCGTGTGTGTGTGGGGGGGCGGGAAAGTGCATGTTGTTTCGTGGGGCCGGGGTATGAGGGGCACGTTTAATGGGGCATGGGAAAGGGGGGTGTATACGCGATACCCTCATTTATATATACCGCCCTTACACAACACACAGAGGGGGAAAAAGGTGTACTTAAAAGTCACATAGACTTCGCCAATGTCGTCGCAAGGCTCACCATACCGGAACAGATGGAAGATACTAAGGTGACTCGAAAGATTACAAGTCAGTACTTCTGATTGAGGCTTCGTTCCACGCGAGCAATGGAGGGCAGCACTCAAATTTGTACCATGCGAGGAATGGAGGGCAGCACTCAAATTTGTACCACGCATGCAATGGAGGGCAGCACTCAAATTTGTACCATGCGAAGAACGGAGGGCATCACTCAAATTTGTACCACGCATGCAATGGAGGGCAGCACTCAAATTTATACCACGCGAGCAATTTAGAGAGGCACTCAGATTTTGAGCCTTGCGGAGGCTTGAAGCAGAATGCAGTTGGTTGTAATTAAGTGTTAGCGGCTTACGGTGTGTTGTAACGGGCCACTTAAATATACATTTTCTTGCCACTCATTATACTTGATTCACGGTGTCTAATTCTAGTTGTAATTCTCTTAGTGGCTCGTGGCGAGTGGAAGGTGGCTTAGGTTAACTGGAGGTGATTTCTAGCAGCTTGTTGTTGAGCGCAGAATGTAGTAAGTTGATGCGCTTTGTCTTAATTGTTAATATAATAATTACGGGTTGCTGATTGTTAAAAGGGTGGGGGGGGGGGGGAGTTGTCGACAGAAGTGTTAAAATAATCTGAGTGGACTATAGTGGGTTGTAGAAGGTTGTAGACGGCTGTAGTGGGCTGTAGTGGGCTGTAGAAGGCTGTAGACGGCTGTAGTGGGCTGTAGTGGACTGTAGAAGGCTGTAGTGGGCTGTAGTGGACTGTAGAAGGCTGTAGACGGCTGTAGTGGACTGTAGAAGGCTGTAGACGGCTGTAGTGGGCTGTAGAAGGCTGTAGTGGACTGTAGTGGACTGTAGAAGGCTGTAGTGGGCTGTAGAAGGCTGTACTGGGCTGTAGAAGGCTGTAGTGGACTGTAGAAGGCTGTAGTGGGCTGTAGAAGGCTGTACTGGGCTGTAGAAGGCTGTAGTTGACTGTAGAAGGCTGTAGTGGGCTGTAGATGGCTGTAGAAGGCTATAGTGGGCTGTAGTGGGCTGTAGTGGGCTGTAGAAGACTGTAGTGGGCTGTAGATGGCTGCAGTGGGTTGTAGAAGGCTGTCGTGGGCTGTAGAAGACTGTAGTGGGCTGTAGAAGGCTGTAGTGGGTTGTAGAAGGCTGTAGTGGGCTGTAGAAGACTGTAGTGGGTTGTAGAAGGCTGTAGTGGGCTGTAGAAGACTGTAGTGGGCTGTAGATGGCTGTAGTAGGTTGTAGAAGGCTGTAGAAGGCTATAGTGGACTGTAGAAGGCTGTAGACGGCTGTAGTGGGCTGTAGAAGGCTGTAGTGGACTGTAGTGGACTGTAGAAGGCTGTAGTGGGCTGTAGAAGGCTGTACTGGGCTGTAGAAGGCTGTAGTGGACTGTAGAAGGCTGTAGTGGGCTGTAGAAGGCTGTACTGGGCTGTAGAAGGCTCTAGTTGACTGTAGAAGGCTGTAGTGGGCTGTAGATGGCTGTAGAAGGCTATAGTGGGCTGTAGTGGGCTGTAGTGGGCTGTAGAAGACTGTAGTGGGCTGTAGATGGCTGTAGTGGGTTGTAGAAGGCTGTCGTGGGCTGTAGAAGACTGTAGTGGGCTGTAGAAGGCTGTAGTGGGTTGTAGAAGGCTGTAGTGGGCTGTAGAAGACTGTAGTGGGTTGTAGAAGGCTGTAGTGGGCTGTAGAAGACTGTAGTGGGCTGTAGATGGCTGTAGTAGGTTGTAGAAGGCTGTAGTGGGTTGTAGAAGGCTGTAGTGAGTTGTAGAAGGCTGTAGTGGGCTGCAGAAGGCTGTAGTGAACTGTAGAAGGCTGTAGTGGGCTGTAGTGGACTGTAGAAGGCTGCAGTGGGCTGTAGAAGGCTGTAGTAGGCTGTAGTGGGC